ATTTATGTATGAAGGTATGAAAGTAATTATTGTGGATGCTTGAGATTGCTATCACAATCTAGCTCAAGTGATCCTCAGGCCTTGTAATCTTGAGGTTAAGGAATAGAGAATGCTTCATGATCCAAGTCAAAGCCTAAATTAGTATTTATTTTAATTTATTGTTAAAAATTTGCTCCAACTTATTTAGGACATGACTGTGCATATACAAAATCCTGATTTTTGTTAATATTATTGGAAAAATCTTTCCGCTACCATCTGGCATTTTATTAAAGAAGGAATATATTTGCTGACAAACTCTTAACATTTTATTATTATTCGGTTTGTTTTCTTCTGCTCCTTCTTCTTCAACTTCCTTCTTTGTTATCGGTTGTTCAAGCTTCCATGGGTGTTCTGTTTTAAATCATTGAATTCATTTTTTTATTGGATTGAATTTCCAATCATGATCATGATGATGTCTATCCATTCGAAACTTAGTTTTTCAATGACCATGACATCTTTTTTTGGACTTATGTGAGCTGTTCATGATGGATGATATTTTGGATTATTCATTTTCTAGTGGATCATCCTTCCAAGTTGGTATTTTAAGAGATGAATTCTACTCTACCATCACTCTTCAAAGTCATATCAATAGTTGGAATATATGTATTGCACTGAAAGCATATTGCCAAATGAATACACATCATAATCAATGAAATGGTTCATCCTACTTATTATACCCACCCCTCAATGATTGTCCCAATTTAAAGTCAAATTTTTAACACCATTACAAAATAAATATTTTAATCAAATTAAAATATTTATTCAAATTAGGTTAACTATTCAAATTAAAATTAGTGAGATCATAGTAATCTTAAAATTGAAGGAAGATTCCCTTAACCAACAATTTGACTCCGTAACCAAGTAGTCACCAAGGCGTCGCACCGTTGCATTCCCGGGAGTAACCTCCACTGGCTACGGGTTACAGTGACCGGATCCACGGCCTCTCGTGGAAGCGGACGTGACTCTCCGGAAGGACGCACCGCGAGAGAGAGCTTTCGTCGTCGTCGTCGTCGTCTTCGTCATCGTTGCTTCCAACGGGAGGAGCGAGGGGCTTCATCGTGAACTCTTTCTATAAATACTGAGGAGGAGGAGGAGGAGGAGGGGGAACGGAGAAAAAGAGCTGCGGGAAATAAAGACCGAAGTCGTCCCTTTCTCTACTACATGTCCCCGGAACGCCGCTTCGTGTCGGATACGCTACTACTTATAAATAGTAGAAAACCTCTCCTGTTTGTTTTCTTCCTTCTTTGGTCCCCCTAATTCCTTTCCTTTCACCTCTTCTCTTCGGAAAAAGGGGATTCTCTTGCTCGTTTGACGCCGGTTCTTAGGGTTCTTCTCCAGCTCCGTCGCGTCGAGGGTCGTGGTGGTGGGTCGGGCGAATCGATCCGATCGCTGTCTTTATCTTCCTGTCTCTCCCTCCCTCCCTCCCTCCCTTGCTGTTTATTTGATCCGGAATCTGGGATAAAAAGGCAGATGACTTCTTGAACGCCACGCCCAACAGATCTCGCGCGATCGCCTCACGAATTGGAGCTCCGTGTCAGGTGCGGCTCCGTCGCTCGTTCCCACGATGGGAATTGCTTGTGTTCCTGTTGATTCTTGGCATGTCTTGTTCGGAATGATATCCGTCTGCGATTGTGCATTTGGATTCGTTCATGGACAAGTAATTGATGTTATCGATTGGATCACTTTGTCTGATTCTGTTCGGTTGTTTTGCGTTATGATCGAATCTTACTTTTGAATTTTTTTGGAGCGATTGTAATCTGCTAGAATGTTTGGCACTATATAAAGGGCGGGTTTAATGACCTTGCAAATTATATGTATTGATCACTTCTGAAATCGAAGAGTTCAACCACGTTTGTTGGCGTGTGGAAATCATAGAGGAGCTGCTTGCAATTTATTTCCTCTTTGATAATAAGTTCTCTTATTAGTTGTTTGGATAGCAAAATAGAAATCTTTTGTTAGGTTAAGGTAGGTTTGGATGACTTTGAACTTTTATTATTAGGGAATCTTTTCTGGTTTACTAGCTTTTCCTACCAGGATGCCCCAGCTACTATTTAGGTAGCTTGCTTGAAGGCACTGGAGAATCTTGTTCATTGTCAAGTAGGATATTCTGCAAAGTCTATTAGTTATTTCAAGGCAAGCATTTTCTCCTGAAAACTTTGAATTTTTTTCCATATTTCTAGATGCATAATCTCATGAAAATAACTAGTCTTATAGTCAATTTGTGGTGCATTTGCTAGGTTTATAAGGCAAAAATGTTTTTCTCATATTGTTTCGTTCGAGCGAGGGACCTGTGGATGATGTGTCTTTATGTACAGCAAAAAGCAAGCCTGAAGTGCTCAGATTTGGGCTGTGCATCAAGAACAACCTCATGAAATCGTTTGGACTCCTGGAATAACAATGTGTAAGATTGTTTAAGTTGTTCTTAGTGGTTGTTGTCGCCTTCTTAAATCATAATTGTAGCCCTTCTACCCTGCTAGATCTTTAAGGAACTTGTGTAGATCTTGAAGAAACCATTCTACGGTTTCGATTATGACATGGCTAGCATAAAACATGCTTGCTTGCGAGGGTTGCAAGAAGCAAATGTTAATTAAACTCAAGGTTTAAAATTTCGATCCGTACTGCTGTACCGACCAATGGTCGGTACGGTATGTACTGAGGCGTACCAATGGTATACCCAAAAAAAAAAAAAGCTTCAAAAAAATCTGAAAAATAAAAAAAAGCTAGAGTAGGGTTTTTAAGTTGGAAATAAATATAAATTTACTATAATTTTAGCGAAAATAATCTAGTTCCTCGAGAACTAGATTATTGTTTTTTCCAACGGTGTGACTGATGCTACTGCCTTCTCTTTTGCCTTTGCCTTTGCATGTTGGGCGGACGATTGTGACAGTTAGGTGTCTCTAGTTCTTCGAGTAGTCTGACTCGATGTTGTTCGGTTTCTTCCACCACATTCTGACCGAGCGGAATCTTCCTCTTAATCCTCCCAAATTTGATCCAATCCACAAATCGTAGCTTTGTTAAGTTTAGGAGAGTGAAAATGTGAAAATAAGAGAGAGATGTGAGTGAGAATGAGTTTGAGAGAGTTGAAGAGATTGAGAGAGTGATATGAGTTGAAAGAGGAGGGAGGAAAGGGTTTAAAAATCTTTTTCTATGGTTCAAATGATCAATTTCACTATTTAAAATAGCGCGATCTCAGCCCTTGATCAGTAACAGTCGAAATCCGATTGTTATTGATTGGTACAGGTTAGTAACGGTCGGATTTCGATCATTATCACCTGGTACAGACCCCGTATCGTTCGATACAGGATCAGGTTATGGTACCGCCCAGTAGAGGGCGGTCCGCATACTGGTTCCTTGTCGGACCGGTAAGTACTGCCCATATCAGGTGGTAACAGGTCAGTACGGTGAACTCTGATTCAACTGCACACTTGGTGCATCCATATATGGGAACATCTTAGATGCAGTATTATGCATTATAGAATCCATTGATCCTCGCATGCAGACGCTGATGAATGGAATATAGACAAAGGTTCAGATAAGCGGAGACACCAAGAATATCAACTAGTGCAAAATGTATATAGATATCAAAGACAGCTCTGTTTGCTAACTGCTAATATCCTTGAATTCATAATCTTCCTTTCACTGTTGTCTTATATTTGGCAAACCTATGCCACTGTGATGAATCACAGATAGGATGTGACATATCGAGTAATATGGCCGAAGCTCATTACGTGATTTATGATTAATGCGAACCAATATGTATCTTCCTTGTCTGACAGAGTCTTCTTCATCGGCAACCAAATGTGTGTGCATATGAATCTGAAATTTTACTGTGTGCACATCAAGCCCTTCAGAACTGTTCTCTGATTATATTATTCATATGCTTACTTGTTAATGGTTATTGTCAAATTATGCAGGGTTTGATGTTATGCTGAATTTTTCACATGAGGCTTGTAAAGTGATATCTGGTGCAGCATATGATGATATCAGATTTTGTTACTGTTGTACAATATTAAACACATGTCCTGAGTCCCTACACTATTTGTGATCTCACAATTCCTGAAACTTTACTTACAAAGCAAGATGCTGAAGTCAGTCCTGGAGCACCCAAATGTTCCTTCACCAGCAGGATTTCTGCATCAATATGTTCATCGTATGAGTGGCAAACATTCTCAGACAGAAACCGTACAGCACACGTCTCCAGTTGTTTTTTCTGAAACAAGAGGCAAGGTAAAATCCTTTGAGCAAATTGATGCCAATGGCACCAGTGAAGATCCTGTAAAGCTAAAGGTACATGAGCATAGATTAGATATTGGAGATGAAAAGTCTAGCTTGCTAGGATATGAAGTTTTCTCTGGGAAGCTTGTTCTAGATAAGAAAACCAAAACTACAGGGGATGATGAGCAAACAGGGTCAGGACCTGGAAACTCTGATAGCATTGATGCAAAGCTTACAACCAAAGCCCTGATTTGGGGTTCTCACGTGCTATCTCTTGAAGATGTGATATCTGTAAGTCTAACCCAAATTTATTCAACTCGTTTTTTGCTGAACCTTTTGATATGACTTATTTTGTTGAGACTCACCTTTTTATTTTTGTTATTTACCTTTTGGCAGATTTCCTATGGTGCTTGTTTTCGTCATTTTACTATTCATGCATACAGTGTCAGGAGGAGGTCATATGGACTTTCTTGTTTTATGAAACCACAAAGATCTCAAAAGGACTTCCGCTTCGTAGCATCTAGTTCAGAGGAAGCCATTAAGTGGGTCCAGAGCTTTGCAGATCAGCAATGCTACATAAACCGCTTAGCTCATCCAATGATGTCTAGCAAGAAGCAGACCTCTAATCTTGTGGTCACTGAGGCCTTGTATGACCTGCCATATATAAAATGTAAAAGTCCACCGAGGTTACTTGTGATACTGAATCCTCGTTCTGGGCATGGTCGATCAAGTAAAGTATTCCACAACCAAGTAGAACCAATTTTCAAGGTGTGTTTGGTCTTGTACATTGAATATATTCTCTTCAGCATTGTTTTTGATTTCTGTCTATGATTATCTACATGAATTGTTTAGGTTGTTTCAAGATTCGAGGCTTTTTCTGTATGGTATATGTCATCTAGCAGATAAACCATGAAGTTGTTCATTTGGCAAACTTGCCGTTGGAGAGCAGTGGATTATTAGTTAGCAACAGTTGCAGGAGCTTATGCTGAGATAAGATTGCAGTACTTGTGTAAATTGTTTAGATGTAATTTTTACTATTCAGACCAGCCATTTCAATAGTATGAAAGAAGTACAACAGCTTATTCAGCAGTTTCTTGATGATATTTTTTGAAGCAATGTTCTCTGTCTCAATATGATTTTAATTCTTTAGGATAAATATCTATCGTAGTCTGATCTTCAGCAGGGGAAATATCTTATCTGTAGGTAATTGGATGTTCGAAAAGTGTCAGTCTTTCAGAAGTAGTTTGTAATTACAAGAGTCAATATTCTTGTTGTACTTTGATATGTTAAGCTCCTCTGTTTTCTACATACTGCTAACTTACTGTCTTTGCCCATTTATGTAATAACTTCCTCATGAATTGAAACTAGGTATCATAATGGGGTCATAATTTGGTTTACCTTGAAATTGAAATTGCTGTAACCCTATTATGTAAATGTTTATGTTTGCTTGTTCACAGAGAAAACTGGTGACAGCTTGCAGGTTTCAAAATGGAAGTGGTTAAAACAAAATATGCTGGTCATGCAAGAGAACTTGTTTCAACTATTGATTTCAGCACTTGCCCTGAAGGTATGGTGCACTATATTACTGACTTCACTTTGTGATATATAATTACAATTTTCTGGTCTTACTGTAAAAATGTTCCAGGAATCATATGTGTTGGTGGGGATGGAATTGTGAATGAGGTAAGTTGTTTCTACCATTTTTGGTTTTTGGTGCCATTTATGTTTTTTTGGTAATTTTTGAGTTGATTACATTTCTAAATGAATGATGAAAGTCAGACAATGATTCTTCAAAGTAAACTAAAAAGTGAAGGAATAACTTCCACAACAAAGTCATATAGGAGCTTCCTTTATGTGGGATGTCCTTCCATATACGCGCATGGAACTACAATCTAAACTCTTAGCCAAAAATGTGTTTATTCACGAAATTGGGCAGTGATTATGTATCAGCTTTCTTACCTTTCTGTGTGATATAGTTTATGTGGGTTACAAGCATAAGTTTAGCATGTTTTTGTTTCTAATTTCTTGTTCGACTTGTTAAAAGAGGTAACATATCCACCTTAAGGCAACCAACTAATTGGTAGTTAGTCATTGGTAATTCTTTTTTACTGATTTTTAACTACATTGCTAAGCTTCTGGAAGTCTAGAATGTCACTTGATCACAAAAATAGTGTCTGCTGAAACAAAAGTTGGTTGAATACATTGAAAGAAGTGATCCTATGAGAAAGATTTGCAAGATCAGCATCAAGTTTGGCCAGGGGCAATATGATTGATAAAAATTAAGTTTTTAAAAAAAATATAGCAGAAATTTAGAAAAATATGAAAGTCAATTTTGGAAAATAAAAAATAACATGTGCTAGATGATTCTTTTTCCTTCATATCCAAGTGATATCTAACTTCTTTTATAAAAGGTAAAATATAAAAGATGAAAATTTTGTAAAAATAATATGTAAAAGTAATGTTATATAATTTGTCAATAAAACAGATGTGATAATTTATTTTCACAGAAATTCATGATGGTATAAGGCTTGATAAGCTTAATAGTAATAACTTGGGATTAATGCATTTTGAGCTGTGCAATTCCTATTATATCTGACGTGAGTTGACCTGCTGAGTTGACTCATGTTGACAATTAAATTAAATGCCCAAAGGTCACTTTTCCTTTTACTGGATTTGAGAATAATGGCAACTTGACTCATTGATCCTTACTGCTTGTGGCTATCAGGCCCATTCCTTTTGCACTGTTATTTTGTCAGTTTAACTAAGAATTATGTACTTGTTAATTTCTAATGACTATGTTATATGATGATCCAGGTCCTCAACGGTCTTTTGATTAGAGATGATCAGAAGGAAGCGATTTCTGTTCCAATCGGTATAATTCCTGCTGGTTCAGACAATTCGCTTGTCTGGACCATATTGGGGGTTAGGGATCCTATTTCTGCTGCAATGACTATTGTAAAGGTAATTATGCACTAACTTATGTATATACAACAAGTAAAACTTGTCAATCCTCTGGCAAGTTTCGGAGTTTCTGTTCTGCTTCCCAATCTTTTAATGTCTAACCTTTTTTAACTGAAGTATGTCACTATATTGATACAAGTTGAGTGACCATAATTTATTTCACATAAATCTTAGAGCTGTCCTATGTATGCAGGTTTATGCAGTTAATTGATTGAAATATAGAGCTTATCTATATCTTTCTGTTGTTCTCATTTTAATATTTTTCATCTTTTTCACAATTATAAAAGAAGGAAAAATATCAAGATAAAAGATTGAGAAATCTGAGAAGATCCACATTTTCGCAGAATGATCTTTGTTTATCAATCTCTGTTATTTCTTCTTTTTCTTCTGAATTTGGAACTTTTCCTCATCACTTATTGAAGGATCAAAACTATAATTGATTTTCTTTATCAACATACTTATAGGATCTTGATAACTGAAAAGAAAAAAAGTGTACCTAACGCACGAGGCTGTTGCTAATATGGGGTCTGGGGAGGGGTGCATACGGAAGGGGTGAACATATGCAGTCTTACCTTTAAATATTATTTCCATAACTCAAATCCTGGAATTTTAATGATATTATTTGTCTGCCCCAACTTGTAAAAATGAAGGATGAAGAGGCCCTCTCTTAGTTTTGTATCTCCATCTCCAACTTAGAGTTATGCTTTTGGAGAGACAGATTTACTATTTTTGCCACAGTTCTATAGATTGTCATTTGATCATCTATCTGTAAATTTCTGCAATATTTTTTACTTTATTGTTGACACTTCATTCTTTCTCTTCTTCTAATGTCCAGGATTTGCTGCAATCATTTATCTGTTGCATGCAATCTCTTACTACTATATTGCTGTTACTTCAGTCTTTTCTACTTGTCACAAATTTGAAACTTTGCACAGTCCAAGATTAGTTTGAGTGATAATTCCAATTGAACAAATATGATAAATTAAGCAGCCATGTTATTAAACATAAATATGGACCATGCATTTAGGTAGAGCTTTCAACCAAAGAGTTATCACAAGGGAGATTGTGGTTTTTATTATTTTTATTTTAAAAAACAGATTACAGAGTCCCAGCATGGTGATGGAAGTGAATTTTTCATTTGCTTCTTGCCTGGTGATTGTAACTTAGGCAGTTTACAAAAAAGTTATAGGCAAACTTAATGATGATTTCACAAGCACATCAAATTATCAAGAAATAAGAAGCTAATAAAGCACATATTGCATGGTGTTGGTGAAAAATGCTTGGTGAATGTGCATTTATATTAGGATTACATATGTAACACTTAGAGTAACCATGGAGTAAATAAAATTGGAGAGATCCAGTTTATGTGAAATGATCATGTGCACAATTAAATGGCTTGAATAAGAGCTTGGATCTGTACGGTAGGAAAAAGTTTAATAGTAAGATTTTACAGAAAGGCCTATGGTGAATAATTCACCCCTTTATAATTAATAAATGAAATAGGATCACTAAATAAATTTAGATAACTGGGTGAAAGACTTGCTGACTAGTCTCATTTTGCAGCTTTGGAACAGACGATACTTTATCAATGTTAGTTTTCTAGTTTCTAATGCTGTTGCTAAAATAGCTTTCTTCATATTAATTTCTTATATCATTACTTGTCATGCCTTTAATGTTACTTTCTTAGTACAGGGGGGGCTTACTGCTACAGATGTTTTTGCTGTCGAATGGATTCAGACTGGAGCTATCCATTTTGGGACAACTGTTTCATACTTTGGTTTTCTCAGTGATGGTAATTTGATCTTTTCTGCTTGTCGGCTTTAGCTTCACTTGATTTCAACTCATTTTGTTCACTCATAGATGTGATTATCATTATAGTATACCCCTTTTATCATGCAATGTTGAGTTATGTTCTTTCTAGAAATGCTAGTTTCTTTGAAAATTAATTTATATGTCAAGATATGACGGGAACATTATATTACCTTTCATGATTAGCATTACTTTGGCTTCTGGTTAGCCAATTATAGCTCTTGAGGTTCTACCACCTCATCTAATGAAAGTGCAAGTGGGAGTTGTAACAAGGTTTTAAAACTGGTCTGATATTTCGTTTTAATAACCTATTGAACTGGTATGATACCAAGATTCCAAGTCGTATACTGACTTTAACTCTCAATATTAGATAATAAAAAGGTTGTTCTCTTAGAAAAGCTTGATAAACTTTTTCTTCTATAAATGAATAGTTATTCGATGAATATTTGGATGGGCAATCCATTAGCTTTATCATTTGGTTAGTTTAGTATCGGCATACCTATGTTGTGGTGCTGGCCCCAGTCAAACTCATTCTCGTGAAGTTAGGTAATTATGTGCTTATATGGGTTGCTTATTCGTGTCTATGTCTACCAATCTGCTTTTGATTTTATTATTGTATTTGTTCCACAGGATTGTGATCCTCTAATGTTATGCCATGTTGGTACATATGCGGGGAAACTATGTTCTCCATATTGTGCAACTTCTAATTAAAGGTTGATGCAAAATTCGGTTAAAACTGTCATGTGCCTAGGATTAACTTCTAAATTGTGGTATATATGGTGATCATGGTGTTAATCATTTGCTCAGTCATTTAGGTATTTTGGATTTAGAAAACCTTGTAAAACCAGCATATATCTACTGATTGTTGGATATAATAGCAGTGTTGAATAAGGTTCTACTTTTTGAAGGAACAAGGTTGCAACATGGATAGGCCAACCTATACCCAATTGGACCAACTTATCTTTAACCACCACTTCAAAAATATTCAAGGCATGCCTACACTGAAGTGCAATATTTTCACTTGGAAGTTTGGTCAGTGTTGGGTTGACCTGATGCAACCTGATTTGGTTTTGTCTTTTGACACATCTGCACTAAACGAGTATAAGGTATAAGTGAGAGGATATCTAACACCGTCAATATTGGTCCCATGTTCAGATAAAAAGATGGATACATATTTGATTAAATTTAAACTGAGTTTATTATTAGATTGCCCGTTCAAAAGACTAATCCATATAGTGTATAAACTGGATCGGTCCTGACTCATATCTGATCCATTGACAGAAATACTGCTCCTGAATAAGTGGATCTTAACATCTAGCGTGCTGTATTTTCTGTCAGTTGCATCTTTATTTCTTTTATCTGCTACCATTATAAATAGTCCAAACTCCATTTATTCTTTTATCTGCTACCATTATAAATAGTCCAAAATCCATTATAAATTAACCATTCTACTTTAAACTTACTGGGAGCCAAAAGGTGAAGGTTAACTTACAGTAGAAGAATGTTCTTTTAGCAACAATATGTACATGTTTGAATCCAATTTGGTTAGTTCACTAGGGTAAAATTATTTTGAGCTTCTCAATGCATGTATTGGGACTTTAAAGCATGTGTGAGCTTCTCAATGCATGCACTGAGACTTTTAAGCATGGTTCGTCTTACCGATCCGTATCAGTGTACCGTCTGATTGTTCGTACGGCATGTATCGAACTGTACTAATGTACCGACACAATACGATGGGGCATATTGATAAGCCACTATATACCGTCTGTACTGATCCCTTATAGGACTAGTATGTACTATCCGTACTTGGTGGGATGCTGCGATATGACGAACCTTGCTTTTAAGCATATGTACGCATGATTGTTTAGTGTATGATTTACCAAACTAATAATGAAGCATGTACTGGTACTTTTAATCACGTGTGATGCTTATTCTGGTTTTGATTGCTCTGGGCATCTCAGAAAAATTAAAGATTGGTTCTGATGAAGACCTAAGGGGTTTAGTGTATGATTTACCAAACTAATAATGAAACATGTAGTGGGACTTTTAAGCATGTGTGATGTTTATTCTGGTCCCCATTGCTTAGGGCATCTCAGAAAAATTAGAGATAGGTTCTGATGAAGACCTAAGGGCGACTTTCGTTGAACTTGTCTCTACATTCCCTTGTCAAAAACCGAGTAGAATTTTATTATTTGGCCTGACAGTTTTTCTCTGGATGTCAGCTGAACGGTGTAGATGTTTGCTTGTATGTGTATCATATGTGCATTTACATGCACCAAGGGTAAGGAGGTCATGTTTTACCTCTGGGTCATATCATTATGCAAAAGGCCCTGTAACTCTCTCCTCATAAATAATTTTGAACATAATCTTCATATTTATTCTCGTCTGCCAGTTCCATCCCCCTAAAGGTCCTTGTTGCTTCCTCTGATATTTTGCTTACCTCTCTAATAAGACCAGGAGTTGTTCTAGATTGTTCAGTTTTTATTACTATATATAATTATGTTCTTAGGTTGCATTGTTAACATGTCATAAATTGATTTTTTTGCTTTTAAATCCACTTATCATTCAAAAATCTTGATCAAAGTCTTTCTGTGTGCTTACTGATTTCTCTTTCTTTTAGTAAATTATTTGAAATTTATTTGCCAAGCTTCCTGATGTCTGGAAGTGGAAAAATTAACTCGGGAACTTTCAAAAATTCTGATTGTGAAACATTTCATGTAAATGTCAAAAAAATGTTTTTAGGGATGTCTATGTAGCATCGATGATCAGTTGGACTACTTTATAACTTGATAACATAGATTAGCAAATATCTCATAATTTTTGCTATAGTGTGCCGAAGTTGTCTCTGAATTATGAAAAAACTCTCTTCTGTTGATTAAATTCTCTGCTACAGCGTGTTTGCTCAGCAGTTTTCATTTTAGATTTTCTGCCATGTTCATCTTATAAGCTATTGTGTATAAGATTTGGTTTTTTGGTACGATTGCAGTTCTGGAGCTGTCTGAGAAATATCAGAAGCGATTTGGTCCACTACGCTATTTTGTGGCTGGATTTCTTAAATTCCTATGCTTGCCAAAATACAGCTTTGAGTTGGAGTATCTTCCCACATCAAAGGAGTTGGGAAACTCAAAGGAAAAAGTTTTAGAAAATCAAGATAAAATTGTTATGTCAGACCTTTATACAGATATAATTCATGAGTCGAGAAAAGAGGGCATCCCAAGGGCTTCCAGCTTATCCAGTATTGATTCGATTATGTCTCCAAATAGAATGTCTGGTGGAGACATGGGCACTACAGGCAGCACAATTGCTAGCAATGAGCCATCTGACTATGTCCGAGGGCTTGATCCCAAACTAAAGCGCCTCTCTTCAGGGAAGAATACCTTGGTGTCTGAACCAGATGAAGTACTTCACCCCCAACCTCACCTTTCTGCTAATTTTAACTGGCCAAGGACCAGATCAAAGTCAAGGACAGACAAAACTTGGACTGGCCTGACTGTCACAAATGATTCCAGGTGTTCCAGGGGAGCCACTTCTTTGTATGATAAAGAAGATATATCATCAACGGTGTCTGATCCTGGACCCGTATGGGACTCTGAAGCAAAGTGGGATACAGGGCCGAAGTGGGATGCTGAGCCCAACTGGGAAGGTGAGAATCCTCTTGAGTTGCCAGGGCCACCAGACGACTTAGAACTAGGAATGAAGCTGGAACCTGTTCCAAGTCTAGAGGACAAGTGGTTTGTTAAAAAAGGCAAATTTCTTGGCATTTTGGTGTGCAACCATTCATGCAAAACTGTCCAGAGTTTGAGTTCTCAGGTCGTGGCTCCAAAAGCTGTACATGATGATAACAGTTTGGACTTGTTATTAGTTGGTGGAAGTGGGAGATTGAGATTGTTAAGATTTTTAATCTGCTTGCAGTTTGGTAGGCATCTATCTCTGCCTAATGTGGACTATGTTAAGGTATGGGATGCCTCTTCCCCCCCCCACCCCACCCCAAATGTTAGTGTGTTTCGAGTTCCTTTCATTCTTTTTTTTTTTTTCGTTTCTCAGTGGCATCACATTTAGTTCTTTTAGATATTCCAATTATCCAATATTAAGATGATACTTTTTCATATCACTAATGGAAATGATTGTTACCAAGAGTTATATGATCTTTCTTATATTTGAACTTCTCCAGAACACCAAATTGTGGCGAACACCATCTGTTTAAAGTATATTCAGTTTTCTACAACATTAGGAGTCATGAGAAACACTTTAATGCATAAGAAAAAAAAGGTAGATTGAACAGTTTCCATTATTTTTTATACATTTCTTTCTAGGTTCTGGCGTACTTGGCTCCACCACTTTGATCTTGTTTCATTGTGATCAATACTAAAAAAAAAGAGAAACAATTCTCTTTTTCGGCATGCTAGAAAAGCATGAGAAAAATTTCCCAATTATGACATACTGTTGACAATTTCACGTGTGTCACCCATATCACCAGCTTGTTTCTTGGCCCCATTATCCTGCTCTTTTTTGTTTACAATGTACTGACTTGTTCCTTTTATACGAGTTGTTAAGCATGCCCATCATATCTGTTTTTTCCTTATTTCATCTCAGCTTTTGATTCATGAGTTGTGGTTGGTCTCCGCTCCATGCTCTTGTTGTGCAATTTTCTTTTTCCCTCTTTCATTTTGTGTTGCTTGGTAGCTCAGTATAAAGTTCCGGCATGTTTCTGGGCATGGCATATTGTGTTTTGCATCACCAACTCATCCTTGGCATTCAGTTTATCCCTTCAGTGTTGAACTGATTGCATCATGACATTGCAGGTAAAGTCCGTGAAGATTAGGCCTGGCTTAACCACTCATAATGGCTGTGGTATCGACGGGGAACTTCTTCATGTCAAAGGGCAAATTATGTGTTCCTTGCTTCCCGATCAATGCAGACTGATAGGACGTCCTGCCCAACATTGTAAATGACTGTAAAAAACTCTGAAATCAGCAGCGCTTCTACCGGGAGTGTGCTCCATTTCTCTTCCAATATATGGTAAGCAGCTGTGTGCTAGTAGAATGTTAAAATGTCAACGAGGACATGACCCAAAGCGTCAGTTCCATTAGGAGCCACCGCTTTGCTTGGGGAAATATTTAGAAGACATGATCAGAGAAACCTACCTTGTTCCTGGTGTATATAGTGTGGTGCTTTTGGCAGCATCTGCGAGTGATGATTTTTTTTTCTTTTCTTTGTTCTTTTAACTCCTCCGAATTGGAACCTACAGTTTGCTTATTTTCTTGTTTGTCCATTTTATTATATTCCTTTTGGGGGCAGTTCTTGGTTTTCACTGGAATTGTTTTCTTAATTATATATTCTTGTACTGTATAAAGCATAGCAGTCCATGGGTAGTTCTTGTTCTTCTTTTCTATGGGCCTGTACTTTTTTTATAGAACCGTCATTGGGATCTTTCCTCCGAGTTTAGTAATTCCATACCACTCTCTCGCTAATCTTTTTCTCAGCTTGGTTAGATTAAACATAATTATCCTAATATCAAAATTTTAATTAATAAAGTGGCTCTTTACGACATTCATCAGCAGTACATGTGATAATATCTAAAGGGGATATAAATTGTTGATATAGATTGTGTTGCAATTTAGGCTCCCATTTGACGAAGGACTTGAATGTCTCCGGGCTCACACTATCCCATTGCCACACCAACAACACCTACTCAGCTATCAGATGTCTATAACTTACACAAATTCCCACGCAATAAAAGTCACAGAAAGATACTTTGGACTAATCCATGACTGACATGACGGATTTCCGTCCACCCACGAGTCTCTCCCATCACTGTGCCTTACAAAGTCAACATGCTGAATCGACGCGTCTCCATTAGTCACTGACCAGTACATCCTAAACGTCATAGCAGCATTGCTCATACCCTGTAGCTGTAGCAGATGAGAGGAGACGTGCCGACGTGAACACCACACTACGAAATCTCTCTCTCTCTCTCTCTCTCTCTGCTTTAGAAGCCTCGTTTTTGCTCTATAAGCTCAAAATCCCATGGCAGAACACCACACTACTCCAGGCTCCAGCCCAGCATCTAATGGACGGCATTATATTGACCATGTCTCTGCAACGAAGGCATTTAAAAGCAGGCTGGCAGGTAAGCAAACGACGAGTTACCGATATATATATATACCCATAATAATCCCCTCATCTACTCTCCAAAGTTTTTTTAATAATTTATTAGAAAAAGGTCTATAATATTAAACTTTTATCATATGATACTTTCATAATTAAATTTTTACCTAGATATATTTCTTTTCTTTTTTTTAATTTTGATAATACTTTTTTCAATTGGATTATTTTAAGTCACATATCCATATCTATAGATCTCCAATCTAACCATTACGATTCGATTCAGGTTGATTCAAATCAAATTTTATTAAATCTGTGAACGAATATAATTTGAGTGTAATTTAAATGTAACCAAGGTATTTTTATTAAATTAATTTAAATTTATCTAAAACTATCAATACATGATTATAAGATACTTTATAATTTTTTTTTATGATTTTAGGGTAAATGAGTTTTAAATAAGATATATCTGGGTTGAATCGATGGTTGAATATAACTCGTTGAATTTTTATTAAATCTTTTTAAACTTCTTCGAAATTACTAGGCTGAGGTGATAACATGTTTAGTTTTACTTTTTTCTATTTTTGTATGAATTTAAGATGATTAATTTTTTAAATACTATAGTTTTGGGATGATTTTGTGATCGAGTATAATTCTTTAATTTTTTTATCAAACTTATCTAAACGTTTTTCTAAAATTATTAAGATGAGATGTAATATGTTTAATTTTTTTTATAAATTTAAGATGATTAATTTTTGAAATAGTATATTTTTGTGTTAAATATATGATTGCGTATAATTCGAATATAATTTTTTTTTAAAAGTAAACCATAAGGAGAAGGAGGATGAGACAGAAGGAGAGGATAATCTGAACAAATAAAAAAATCAAGATATAATTAAATTAATTAAAGATTTTAATGAATTAATTTGATTTTATTTATCTTAAAAAATTAATTTAGTCTTAAAAAATAAAGTCAAACCTAATCAAAAGAATAATCACTATCTATCTTTTTATGAAATTATTACAAATATTTTAATCAAAATTAAAAATCAAATATGGGTATCATCTAGTAAAAGTTTATTAATAAAATATTTTTGGATAAATTACCCATTCATTTCTCCGTTTCCATAGACTTGACAGGTTGAACAGTTTCCAAAGAACAGTTGGTCTACAGGTTTTGGATTCCGAGACGTGGGAAAGAGACCACCAGACACACCACAGACGCCCCCTTTTCCCAACACTGTTACCTACCTACAGTCCTACTCCTATATTACATGTATATACATATATGTATACATATAAATAGCAGTGATGTTTGATAGGCGCAGACCGGAGAGGGAAGGAATTGACCTTTGCGTGTTGTCGGGTTGTGATGGCCTGTTGATGATGGATGGATTCTAAAAGACACCCATGATGATTATAACGGACTGCTATTCTCCACTGTTACATGGCCATCTAAACTTCCCATCAAAATAAGTCACAGTGATCACCCACCGACGAAAGTAGACAAGTGCAACCCTACCTGTGCATATCGATCACTCGCTTAAGGGTCATTGAAGTCGAGGCTCTTCTTCTTTGCTGCATGGTTTATTGCAGCGTCATGCGTCAATTACTGCAGCAGCTATTTATGTGCAGCGCAAGCATCTATAACTTTCCACCACCTACCGTCTTAATGACACCATTCTCCATTGACTGGCCAACTTGGAACAGCTTCACATACGTATCTCACAGGCCCTGAAATCGTGGAAATAGTGAAGAAAGAACATCGAATACTTCACATCGAGCGTCATCTTTGCGAGTTACTTGAAAGGTTTAGGATTACGAAGTTAAGGGATAGGAAGTGGATGTCCCATTCGACCAGTCACTACTCTGTCAAATGTTGGGTTCTTGTTCTTGTTTTCTATCTCGCTCTCTCTTGCCTCATCCATTAATGAGACACTAACATTGTGCTGGGAAGGGAAAAATGCCCTATTTCTCTTACCTTATCCACATTATCATTTGTTATTACAGTTTTACTAGATTAGACAGTCCTCTAAGTTGTTTAAATGCAAGCAATATTGAGATGGCCAAAAGGAATGACACTGATGGAGATCCAATACATGTTTGTGTTGAGTTGTTCAGAGCAGCGAACTTGACTGGGTTGGTTTCTAGGAGCAGAAGCTTGATCCGAGCTTAAGGAGAGCACTCAAGGACCAATCGTGAACAGGTCACTATGATATATCGTCTCATGATATGACTCCGAACGAGAAGTCAAACAATGGATAGAGATTCCGCGTGAAACCTATGTCACCAGGTTCCTCCACCCCCTTCCGTGTCTAGGGTTTCTGGCCTCTCATTCTTCCGTCTCATGATCAAGGTAAACGGCAGATCCATGTCCTCCTACATCCCGAGAACTCGAGCCGTTGTAATCTCGTGGTCATGCTGTGAAACCCAGCTGTAGATTTGGTCCACCTGCTGCTTAATTTATTACGTCTTAGCTGCTCTCCTTTTCCCTTCCAAACACCACCAAGTACTCCCTCTATCTCTCTCGCTCTCTCTCTCTCTCTCTCTGCTAATCATTTCAGCTATCATAACCATCCTCTCCCTCTCTCTCTCTCTCTCACCGAGACTACTTCAGGAGGAGAAAGAAGAAGAAAGAGGAAGCTTTCCCTTTGAGGGGAATGTTGTCTGGGTCGAGGCATCCGCAGAACTTGAGATAGATAGATCGTCTATCTTCTCTTCTCTTCTTTTATGTTTGGAGATCTCGGACCAGGCTTCATTCCCCTCAACCATAGCTTCCGTCTCGGCGAACTCGGTCACAGTGAACTGCTTCGATCGGTAATCATGAGGTTCTGAGATCCATGCAGAGGTCTGCCGGATCTACTATTTGCTTTGTTGTTGCTAACTTTGTTTTGTTGTTTCCTTATCGTTCATCCACTGAGGGAGAAGAAACAGATCGGCGTAACCTGATGATGCGTCGACCTACAGCTCCTGTATTCTGTATTCTATTACCTTTTTCTCTTCTGACAGGATGTTGGAAAGGGTTTCATCATTACCTTATCATTCTTTTCTTTTATTTTCTTTCTCCTCCTCTTGATGTTAAAAGAAAGCTGTCTAGTTTTTTTTGGATCCACCACAGTCAGATTAATCCTTGATGATCATGTCAAAGTGCACCCCTGTTTGTTCCTCCTCTTGCTATTTGTTCTTACTTTCTTTTGTTTGATGAAAAGCATCCAAGCTCTCGTCCTCTGTAGGAGTTTATCTTGAGAGTTAATTGGATTCTTGCACATCTTCTCGCAAACTTGGCAGCGATCTATATGTTCAGGTGGATTAATCAAAAGACTTCTTGTGGTGGCCTCAGGCTGAATATAAAGTAGGAATAATGCTCATCACTTTGTTTTGATTCGTTTACTATCTCACCACATCGACTTGATTTTTTTTGTCCTCTTTTTGGCCCATTTTAATGCTCGAAATAATTTAGCTTTCTTGCAAAGCATGATCGAAGGCATAGCCAAATTTGCAGATGCAATTAATCCATGACCTTCTTATGTATTTCATGTCTCTCTCAATAGCTGTTCTCAGATTATACAATAATATCTGGAGTTGTGCACTACAAACCCATTTCTGAGCCTTCATCATATTTCACACTACTTGTATGCAAGTTTTACACAATATATAGTTCATCTTCCAAGAATCATAGACAAGAAGAAGAAGTATCTTGGAAATCTGTGGCATATTGCATGACTGATACAGCTATAAGCGAGCAAACAAGTATCTTAGAAATCAGTGTGGAACATGTTTGCATGTAGTATCTTCGATTTCACAGCTAATCACCCATCACTTACCGCCTCACAAAGTGGCTTTCTATTTCTTCATGTACATTTATTTCCTTGCATCGATATGTATGTAGATCACTTGCACCATTAATTTTCTGGACACACATATGGGTGTTGCTCAGTTCTTTGCTTCACTTTACACGAAGTGTGAGAGACAAAGCCGATGCAGTTCTCATAAAATAATGGGTTTGTACTGGAAAATAATAATGGTGGTGTGGCTGTCACATTGTTCTTAGTCCCCATCGATGTACAGCACCATTAAACTCCATCACGGAAGAAACGCCATCAGACGAGTGTGATCACTAGAGAACAAATCATAAAGCCATAAAAGCTGGGGAGGGTTGGCACGGTTGCCACTTGACATGTAGCTCGTGGGAATGGTCACTCGAAGGGCTGTGGAACTACAGTGGTTCGATATAGGGTTTAGGGTGAT